ATTTGCTTCGCTGCCCGCACTTTTCATATCAACGACGGCCGGCTTCGCACGCCCGGTACGCCACCCACGCAAATGTCGGTGTCCCAAAAGATTCATGTCCCACGGGCCCGCAGACCATGGACAACTTCTTGTCCGCCACACGGCTTCACGGACATCCATGCCCGACAGGGCGAGGTTCTGACACCCGCACCTCCCCACCTTAAAAGTAAGGGTGGGTAAGTGTAGGGTCATCCTAGGGTGTTGTGGAACGAAAAAAGATGTTAGGGCAACTTAATCACCCTCACTGAGCTAGGGCGCCCTTACAAAGTAAGGATTCTTTAGTGGTGTGGAACGAGGCCCTCACTCTGGTAGCCTAGCTTGCCCCAAGAAAATGCAAAAAAATTCCCCTGCCCCAAGAACATGCGAAAAACATCCCTTGCCCCGCGGCTACACAGGCCGCTCACAAATGGGCACACGAATGGTACATTTAGGGCCTCGCTGCACTACTCTAGACTCTCGAAGGCCTCACTGCACTACTGTAGACTCTCAAAATATTTTGAGAGTTCGTCTAGCGTTGTCAGAGAGGCTATACTCTCGAAATACCCGCCTTCGCTGCACTTACTCGATAAACTGCTACACTACATGAACTCTCCAAACCCTGCACGTTGTCCCACTCGACAGAAGAGCTGCACCACTGCGCTGTGGACGAAGTCTGGCCACCGGGACAGGAGGTCCATTCTCGAAAAACGAGCCGGTCGGCGGGCAACTCCCGAGGACACTTGAGAATTCACATTTTGCAGGCGACCGGGTTTCAAGACTTTCCCCATCGAGAGTAAGTGCAGCGACGTCCCACTCTCGAAAATTCGAGAGTCCAGAGTAGTACAGCGAGGCCCTTAGCTAGGAAGTAATTAGGACTTTGGTAAATCTGTGTGACGGCTCCTCTTATCTTTTTTGGGGGAGGGAATTTGGGATTGGAGGTCCCAGTGTGACTATGCCCTGAGTAGGGTCCCTGCCATCCGATCTGGAAGTCTCACGGCCGCAGCGTGACCGAGATGAAAATACCAAGACCAAAATAAACTACAGAATAAATAAATAAATAAATAAGCTCCCCGAGTGGGACACCTTTTTATTTTCTTTTTCTTTTTTCAAGACTTCGGTTTTTTCAGTAGAAGAAAAAAAGGGAAAACAAAAAGCGACAGATTCCCGGAACGATACGGAGAATGAAGATTAGCATTGCCCCTGCGCAAGGATGACACGCATACATCGGGAAAAGGTCCAAATAACTGGAAAAAAAAAAAGTGACACAGAGAAGGCATTTTTTTTCTCTAGGCCGGATTGCAACTCTTCGTAAGCAGCGTTTGCACTTTTTCCATTGACGTCAATCGATGCATTTCTCGGTCATCTTCGTTATAATCATGGCCACCGAAAAGATAATCCACACCATTTGTACTACTGACAAAGAGTTTGATGGACTGCTGACAAAGAGTTTGATGGGAGTAGTAAGGGCCTCGCCACGGTACTGTCGAAATTGTGATAAGGACGAAAATGTGGCGGGCGCATCTGGCCATGTTCCAGCGAAAAGTTCATTCTCATTTTGCACGTCCCGAGAGTGGTGTGGAGATGCCCTAAGGGGCATATCCCACTAGCCCCTATTGTTCATTTCTGACCGTTCATCTTCGTAATCGAGGGTGAAAAATTTAATAATCCAGGGTAGTGGGATCTGAACCTAAATCTGTTAAACTCCTAAACACGGCAGCCAATCATGTCAGGAGATCGCCTTTGCATTAATATAACAGAAGTTACAGAACAATATATATGGGCCTCGCCAGACCCCCTCTCGAAATGCTAAAAAGATCAAAAAAAAAAAAAAGTGGCGGGTGCATCTGGCCATGTTCTAGCGGGAAGTGCATTCACATTTAGCACATGTCGAGAGCGGTGTGGAGATGCCCTCTATATATAGAAAGAAGGTATCGCTCGGGCTGCAAAGCTATGAAAGCATCATTATAGAAGAGAGATCAATCAGGAAACCCCCCAAAAGCATCCCCACCCCCAAAAGCCTACTAGGTCAGTGGGTACACCCATGAGCTATTGAAATACAGACCAGAGTTCAAATCCAGAGACGGTTCTACATTTTGATAAAACCAGATAATAATTCCGAATTCCCTGAACTGCCTGGGGCCGGTCAGCGCAATGCTAACATATCTCAAGGCCGTCGCCGTTTTTTTTTCTTTTTTTTAATAAAGCACCCCCGCAATTTCATCTTATGTCGCTCCACTATCATCCCCACATGCACAGAAGACGGAAAAAAAACATGGAGATGTAACTTTCCACTTTATATGGGAAGATTCGTTCTCGTTTTTTTTTTTCGGCGGTGTATCCTTTCCAGTTTGTGCCGGAAAATTCATTCTTCTTTTTCACACTTCGTGAGTGCTGGAGCGAGAGACCCATCACAGGGAATCTGAACCACAGTTTTGTGCTCAGACTAAGGGCCTCGCTGCACTACTCTCGACATGCGCAAAAGACAAAAATATTGTCGGTGTATCGTTACATATTTCTACCGGAAGATTCACTCTCGTTTTCCACCTTTTAAGAGTAGTGCAGCGAGGCCTTAAGTCCACGACGACAGCTGTGCACGCTCAGACATCTTCGACTGAATCTGGCCGCAACTGCGGCCACATTCCCCTGCAACTTCTCCTAAGTAATACATACATGTCCGGTATGGTGACCTTCTTCGTTCAGGTACACGGTACACTATACATCATGCATTCGATTCCGGAGGCACACTATTCAAGTTGACGTCTGGACGAAGACCTGCCCGCCGCCTGAAACTACATTAGGTAGTGATTATGAGACGTCCCTAACCGTCCTGCTCGAGCAAATAGGCGAACGGAGAAGGGTATATTCAGGATAATTGAGTGGGGGAGTCAGGATAATTGAGTGGGGGAGGGTACGATGCCTGCCTCGCTATCGAGGACCTCTGAGCACGGGTTGTACCCTTGGACGAAGGACTGCACGCTCTCTTCAAGGTGAACGGATGAGCAAGTAACGTGTATAGGGGAAAGAGAGGCTCAGTGCCTGTCTTGACTAGAGCACACATAGGATTCGATCCCTGCACCTCCGATCGAGGAAGGTGTGCAGTGTGCACACAAGCCGATGGGACCTCTAGACACGGCAGTATCGCAGGACGAAAGATTGGAAGGTCTCTGGATGTAACTCTGCTCAACTGAACAACGATCATCTACAATGTATCTGGACTCGCTTTCGACCAGGTGCTGCTCCCAACAAATGGATCGAGCCTCCCCCCGGGAGTACTAGTGGTGCGTGGTCCTATCAGCATCCCTAGCACCAACTCGGGTGGGTTTTCTCAAAAGAAACAAAAAAAAGAACAAAAAACACAAAAAGATCTCTTCAAGGTGAAAGGGTGACGAAGACATAGGAAAGAGTGGGGCGCAGGTTTTAGCCTCTGACTACGCACAGATAAGATTTGATTCCTGGACCACTGGGGCGGCCCACTAACAAGGAGGATTGGATTGAACGCCTGAATCTAGACGGGCTTGAGGAGAGATGCCGAAAATCGAGATTGAACTGCTTATCTAAAGGCCCAGAAACAAAATGTATTCGCAAAACAAAACAAAACAAAACAAAACGAAACAAAACAAAACAAAACAAAAAACGTACCATTGGACGATGGCGCCGATTCCAGCACTTCCTGCTCCCAATTAAGAGATTCGAGCCTTCTGGATTGGATGGTGGATCTTGAACCGCCCTGGCCTGTCCGGGCATGACGCCCGGGACGGCGAATGGCCATCGAAAGTCGTTGATACGGGGGGAAAAGAAAAGAACCCTGCTAATGAGGCATCCATCCTTGTTCGCAAGGGCAATATTCACCCGAAGCGAACAAAGCAAAAACAAACAAAAGAACTCGTTTTTCAGAAATAAAAAAGAAGTGACCGTGGCAGTGACAGCGCGTTTTTTTGGGTGTTTTTCTAAAGAACCGACATTGCTGACCAAAATCGGTAATTACACCAACAGTTCACTTCAGACTCTTGAGCCCACCAAAATGGCTCGGTGGAGGGACGTTCCAAGGTCGGAGTCTCGGAGACCCTCCAAGGCCGACCAAAGTGGCTCGATGAAGGGACGCTCCAGGGTCGGAGACCCTCCAGGGCTACGACTGGGGAGTATCGACGGGGCCATCCGAGTTCCCTACCGGTCCAGACCCCACACCAACTGCTCTTACCGGAAATGAATTCGAGGTCGTAACACTATACTCGGTGTGAACTGGTAGTACAGCAAGTCCGACCGATCAGGAACCACGCCCGGCCATTCCAACCCTCACATCAGCGAGGAAAAGAAAGCAACAGCAAAGAGGAGACTCGAGGGGAGGATGACGTAGAAGACTTAAGACTTAAGGGGCGGGTACGGAGAAGAGAGAACTCCACGTCCCAATTATCGTACGTGAAAACAAACGTGAAACCAAAAACACGTCGAGGTCACGGCATTGTCTAAAACGTGAAACGTCGCGACAATGAGAAGAGGACAGGGCAGTGATGCACGGGAAGAGATCATAATGACGAGCATAGAGCATCAATGAAAATCGTCAGCGTCAAGAGTTTTTAACTAATCACTTTTTTCCATAACAGACATTCAAGCATTCACTAAGCACTTTTTCCCAAAAAGTGCGTCCAGACGAAAGCCTGTGTGCCGTCTTTCACATTCCCTTCCGCACCAACAACACAGACACGACTCAGGGCCTCACCACACCACTCCAGAAACGTGGAAAAGCCAAAAAAGTTGCGTGCATCTGGCCATATTCCAGCGGAAAGTTCATTCTCATTTTGCACATTTCGTTCGAGAGGGGTGTGGCGATGGAGACCCGTTCTAATGCCCTTACTGATGTCACTAACAACATTACAGAAAAGTAGAGCATCTTTCCAGAGACTATATCGCCAGAAATACACCGGCATACATCAAAACCGCATTTGGTCGACTTCACATCCACTGAGTCGAGGAGAAGACGCATCTTCACAAGAAACTTCCACATCAATCGTGCATGTCACGCCGCGTTCGTCATTCCGCAAGCTATACATGCATGCACACCTTGCACATAACTCGACGTAGAGCTCATGAAATTGTGACCACGCTAGCTCCAGCTCAAAATACATGAAACCCCATTTACGACCGGACCTCGAGGCATCTGACCTCAATCACGTCCATAAATCACCAGTAGAGTCCTGCTGCGAGTATGCCCGTCAATATCAAGTACACTAAGCACATTACTTAAAACTTTCCTCACATACCCACGGACTGCCTTCCACTTTCCCCACAAAGCCACAGGACTGGCTTCCAACCAACCCCAGCCTCATAGAAAACAACCGCGTTTAACGAAATGCTCTTAGCAGGTTTCATTATTTTGCGAATCTTTCATCGATTAATCGGACAATCGTTCCCAATCAAACCGCTCATCAACCATCACACGCACATTTCAAGGGAGCACTCCCGCACAGAGAATGACACATCAGATTTTGTATTCTTCCTAGCAGCGGGCTACAGACGATAGCTTGTCCTTACATAACTTACCGTTTTACCGCGACTCGCACTTTCGCCGATATCCAAATACTCGGGGCCGGGAGGCAACTCGTACTCACTTGCCGACATTCTGTCTTGAGCAGCTAGTTAGAAACTATAGCGAAGTAAAAAAAAAGAGAAAAAAAAGAAACCATAACAAAGAGACAAAAAACAATTAATAACAAGTCGCCAATTGGGCACTCGCGGATCAAGTGATATCAAACGCTCGACGAACCTCTTTTTTTTGTTTTATTATAGCCAAAACAACCTGAGTGGAAGCGCTCGACAAACCTACCTCATGCGTACAGCAAAAATAATTTACCGAAGATGAAATCCATCCGACGAACGGACGTTCATTACCGACTCCAACACCAAATAGCGGCTCTCAACGGCCCGTAAGAGAACACGAATTCACCACAACGCTTATGAAAAAATATTTCCGCGTACTAGTCATGAAGCTCCGGTTGACGTGGAAATGCAATTGGGCAACAGAACTATTGTCGCCGGGTGGCAAAATCACGTGGGCAATCAAAGTGAGCCATCCTACGGGAAAACACAGGTACAGACATCGATCACGAGAACGAAGTACCTACAAGTGGATGGTCAGACACGGACAAAAGGAAGAGTATGAGAACGACAATGACAACGAAGAAATATTCAAGCCGAAGGCTAGGGACGAAAACAACACGGAAATGACGTACTCGATTGATTTAGAACCAAAACAAAAGCGGTGCTGATAAGTTAAAAACTCGTTTCAACAACAACAAGCTCAGAGACCGATCCGCCCTTCATTGATATAAAAAGTAACGTCACAAATGCTTAAGAACGACTGCTGACAAAAGCCTAACCGTAAAAACAACTCACTTCTTTCTTCGCCTACCTCTCTAAGAACAATCCTCGCACGCAAAGCAATCTCCTTTTCACTCCATCCTACCAATCAAGTCTCCCGCCTACATCCCTGAGAGCATTCCTTGCACGCAAAACGGTCTCCTCTCTACTTGATCCTACCCGTCAAGCCAGATTCCTCGAGTCCGTGCACACTCAGCTATTTCAACACAGCCTCGGAAGCGCAGAGAGAGAAAATACCACATGTGACTGCGACCAGCACCTCAATCTGCTCTTTAAGCCGCCATCACTAAATGCCTTGTACAGTACAGTGAGTTACACGGTCTGAAATAAGCCAGTCTCCCATCAGAGATACTAACCAGACTAACGTTCATCTTGAGCTCCGACCTTATTTATCTTTCCGAAAAGTACAAATGACAATCCAAATCCTCCCTCCCTCTCTCTCTCTCTCTCTCTCTCTCTCTCTCTCTCACACACACACACACACACAAAAAAAAAAAACACAATTTCTTTCTCGATTCTTTCCACCGCCGACGACTACGTCTATGGAGTCGGATACGAGCACAATTGCGGAGACTGTCGAAGGACAAGGACACTACAACTCAAAACTTAAGGAAGAGCAGCAGGAATGATACCCGCAGCTGGCATCCAAGTGCGAGCCTTGATCCAGTTCGACGACATGAACGGCCTAGCCTGTGCATCAGTGAGCTGAAACGCCCAGCTGGCGCGTCTTCCCTCCTCGGCTCCTGAACCGTAGCACTTGTACTCTCCGTAGAAGATGGCATCCGTGGGCTTTCCCCAGTTATCCCATCCGACAGGGGCAATGATCTTGGACATGAACACCTTGGCGAACACAACCCTGGACGCAAGGCCCCAAGCTCTGCCAAGGTATACGAGACCGGTCCCTGATATCGCACCTTCACGGATCACGAAGCCGGTTCCCTCTGAGGGCTTTGCCTGGTTCTGCGCCGTGAGGTATCCCTTGGTCACCACGTCGGCATACAACTGACACTTGAGGAAAAGCACCGTACCGTTGCCGAAGATGAAATCAACTGATCCTCTTACGTAGCAATTCTTGAAGTAGTGAATACCCTGGTGGCAGTACAGAGTATCCTGGTACCCTGTGAAGTGACAGCGGAAGAAAGACACATAGTTCGCCGTGAGCCTCGCCGCAACTGCCTGCCCTCCTACAGCTCCATCGGCCGGTCTCGGTGCCGTGTTCCTGATCATCATGTAGTAAGCGCTGAAGTAATCAGCCTCAACAGCGAACGTGTACGAGTTGTACGTGCCCAAAGGACTGCCACCAGGACCACGAGTTCCTGCGGTGTCACCCCACGTGATTTCCACCTTATTCGGGTCCAAAGACCATCCCCACATCTGCACGTAAGTCGCTGTTGAAGGCACGCGCACCTTCTCCTTGTACACTCCCGCCTTCACGCAAATGATCCACAATTTGGTTCCCCTATTGCCGGGAATCCCATTAATTGCCGCCTGCACAGTCCTGTAATTCGCAGGTCCTGTCTTGGCAACAGTCACATTGCAAGCTGGCCTAGCAACGCTCACTCTCGCGCTCTCCCGAGCTCCCGGGGCCCAATCTCCGGCAGCCGTTACCTGGTACGCCCTCCTCACGAATCCGGCGAAGTTCTGTTCCACCCCCTGCTTCTGCACCAAAGTAATCTCGAGAGGTCCAGCATTGGCAACGGAGGAGAAGTGACACAAGACTGCGGCGGTCGCGAGCAAGGCGAGCGCCCTCACCATCCGCCCCCTTGGCGCCATCATAGCGGACACGAGAGGAAGAACACGGGCGATGACCAACGCTGCAACTCCTCCCTCTCGTAAACGAAGTTCAGAACAGCGCCAACTGTACACCACAACGTCTCTCCCTGACGATCGATCCTGACTGTTATATACGCGGAGTACGACGGTGGAAGGTTATCAGGCCACCGAGACGGGTGCAACCGTCCGAGCCAACTGCTCTCCTCAAAACTCCTGACGACGGCAAAATTTGTAACCCACGCTGAGGACTGAGGACAACCGCCAACAAATCACACCCTACCTACTCACGCTTTCGCGCACACCCCACCGCCCCCCTCTATCCTCAACGTCCCCGCCGCCGCTTGCCTCCGTCAGACCTCCCCTTCAAATTTCGCAACTGGTCGCCGATTCGGGATTTCGTTGGCGCCTTCGCGCCTGGCGTCCCGCCGCCACCAGAGCAGCAGGACAGCAGCAGGACGTACGTATGGGTGCAGCGGGCGGTTGTCCCCGCGTGCTCCCCGCGTGCTCTACTGTCGGCGGTTGTACTGCCCCCACCCAGGCCAGGCCCTCGTCAACAGTTCGACAATAGGCGGAAACCGGGGCCAAGTCCCATTACCCGTAGCAGCGACGAGTGTCCTCAACGCGCGAATGTGGTCGTGTGTTGTGGAGATGTGCAGAGATGGTGTTGAGGTTCGTCAACCGTACATCTCCACAAACACATCCACATTAGGGAGTTGAGGATACTCAACGCTGCTACTAGTTATTAGTGGGACTTGGCCCCCGGACCAAAAAGGGCCAAACTCAACCACTGGCCTACCTCTTCTCCCGTGGTACACCCCTGAACTGTTGAATTGAATTACAGACCCCAGTTCGGAAAAGAAAATGAGTGAGTGAATGAGTGAATTCTCAATTACCTAGGGCATGTCCGTTCCATAATGACATCTCAATCTCATAGACCCTACTAATACAGATCAGCGACATCTCAATCTCATAGACCCTACTAATACAGATCAGGGGTACAAAGCGGACTATTACAGTTGGCTGGCATTGAGTCGCGCGCAGGCGGTCGTCGGGCTCGAGCTCACAACCTGCCGACTGACACTTGCGTGCCTAACCAGCTGAGCTAGGCCGCTGGAATGAGGATGGGATCTCAAGGCCGTCGCCATTTCAAAAACAAAAAACAAAAAACAAAAAAACAAAAACAAAAACAAAACGGACCCAAAAGTAGCCGGCCACAACGTTCATGCACTCTGACCTCGATCTCGATCGCGATCTTTTGCATCTTCCGCAGATCGAGGTCCACTGATCCACGTCACGGGAAACGACAAAGCACCTGTCGGGGCGGGACAGGGCAGGTGCGACGGGGTTCTTTTATTTTTATTTTCTTCCTCCTTTTTCAAAAGGATTTGCTTTCTTTGTTTGTGCATGTATTTGACCGTCGGCACTGTGAATGGGATCCTTTTTTTTGTTTTTCGTCCTTTTTTTTGCGGGGTTCAACGCTTTTGATGGAGGGCAGATTTCAACTCTCGCAGAGCAGAGCAGAGCAACCGATAGGACCTTTTTTTTCTTTTCTTTTCTTTTCTTTTTCTTTTTTTTATGGTCGTACTTCCGGCCAGATACATCCAGTTTCCGCCGTCAAGTGGCTTGTGAGACTGTGCCCTCAGCTGTAAGGGAAACGTGACACGAGCATACCCCGCCAGTGTACGTGGATCGTTATTCGGACACGAGAACAGGGCGGCGGAGAATGGGGAGGAGCCCATCTTTAGGTGCAGCGTTACCACCTGGCAGAATTTCCTTGGACGACTAGCATGCATCACGTCGCAGCAACACTTCTTACACTTCTTATTTCATCGGGGAATAGCTATACACGTATTTTCACTCGCCTCAAATATTTAACTGGCTTCAAGTTCTGCCATGTCATGGAACGCATTTTTTTCCTCTCACTCACTACCGACCACGACTCCTAAGGCTATATACAGGGGGCCCTGCATGCATAGCAGGCTATATACAGGGGACCCCCGCGTGCATAGCTTTCTACCTCTCTACGGTGAAGGGAGGTTACCTCTCTCTGTGGAGGGAGGTAACTCCCTTCCCGCCTCTCTCTGTGGAGGGCGGTAACTGCATGTTTGGCCCTTTGTCTTAGTGTTTAGGGTGCAGAGTTGGGGCCCTTTGTCTTACCATTTCCCAGGAACTGTGCCTCCCTTTTCATCTTCCCTCACCCCCATTGAGTAAAAGTAGTGCCTAAAGCCAACACTCTCCCGCACACCACACGCAACCCACTCACATGTGCACTGACACCCGTGTTGTCTGAAGACCTTACTAATGTCGAATGGGAGGACCCAGCTGTCTATCTCAGTTTTTGGCACTGAGCGTGCCACAGGCCGCAATGCGGATTGAACCCACAACCTCCTGAATGCCATCTGCGTGCCTAACCAATTGAGCTAGGCCGCTGGATATTTGCTTGTGTTTGTGCAGGTCGCGCAAGGTCCGCATGCGCTGCTAGATGAGATAGTGCCATGCCCTTTTTGTGCGGCCTGGTCGGCCATACGTGTCAGCAGAAATGATAGACAACCTTGCGCAGTGACGTCTCCAAAAGATGAGTTTTATTTGGTTTCAATCGTCTGTGTGTTAGGATACGTGCTGGCCGCTGCTACGGTAGTTGCCGCGGCAGACGGTTTGGCATAATATTGGTCGTCGGATCGAGAGCATTCGCAGGGTCGCCACCCGTATAAGCCTCGTCATTGTGCCCTATTTCTTTATTTTTGTCCATTCTGCGAGGCACAAGGCCTCGGTAAGCCCTACTGGGCCCGTTTTTGCAACAGCGTCGGGCGCCCTAAGTGAAGACAGGCTCAACAGACGACAAGAGGCCTATTTTGGACTACCACGCAACTAGGGAAAATTCAGGCAGTAGCGCAGCACCAGTTGGTTGAAAGCGCCCAGGCCCTGGCTACCTTTATCAAATGCACCAGTTGGTTGAAAGCGCCCAGGCCCTGGGCGAGATACGCAACATGGACCCAACTCAGGCTGCGGGCAGTTGGGCACGGGTAACTGTCACAGGCCCTGGGCCTGATTCGCTCAGACTGGGGCTCAGCCTCCCGGGGCCTACCGGAAGCTTCTAGGTCGGGGACCCGGTACAGCCAAGTTGCACGCAGCAAGCAGGCAACTTCCATTTAGGAAAGTGCCTGCCCTCGCAGTCCTCATTCAGGCACTGGCTGCATGCCAGTGCTGCGCAAGCGCTGCTATGCTATACGCTGGCCAGCGCTCACACGCTCACGGGCGAGCTGGGAGGAGCAGGCAGCCATAGCCGAGCTGCGCTGCTGTATGCTAGATGGGGCGCATGGTGGTCCTTGGGTGCATGTGGCATCTGTGAGTGGGGGATCGAGGTTGTGAGTGATACTCGAGACATACCTGGTGCTTGAGGCGAACGGCATTGGCCGAGACCTGCCCGTACTTCAGGGAAGTTGTTGACGTCACCAACGGCATTGTAGACTAGGCTAGATAGGATCTGCCATGAGTAGTCTGGGCGCAGAGCGCCATATAGGATGTCGATATTGGTTCTTTGTTGATGATGATGAGACTATCCCAACTTTGTCACTTATGAGTTTTTGCTATGCTCTTATTTGGTGGAACTCGTGTTGCAATTGTGCTTTTGGTCCGAGGTCACGACTATCTGGTCACATGTGTATGACGAAATTTGGTTTCTGAAGTTCGCTATTGCTCATTTTCATTACAATTTGGTATCAGAGTTGTGGCACATTGCGCTCATCTGGCGATTGTCTTTTGCCTATGTGGTACGTGCATGCGGTCTGCTGGGCGAGCAGCCGTAGGGAGTGTGTAGTGAGGAGGGTGAAGGCAAGCAAGCGACCCAGGAGGAGAGGGGATCGCCAGGAAGGCTACGTGGTGAATATTGGGTGCTCGCAGTGTGATGAGAACTATCTGATGTGCGATTGATATTGAGGCGAAACGGCGGTGTAATGCTGGTTGTGCCGAAGCAGCGATTGGTCATCACAATCGACATCATGTCATTTAGTGATAATATATGTGGTTGCGGACATATATTTTGAGGTACGTTGCAACTAACCTTATCTAGTACCCTTTTCGACACTTCTTATCGTGAGGAATCTGATGCGTGTTCTATCTTGAGAGTCCTCTCATGTGAGGAGTCGAGTGCGCTCAACCTTGAGAGTCGCCAGTGCTCACGTGGAGCATCTGGAAGGAGAGGGCGGTGCTATCTGAAGGGCCCTCGACGAAGCACTAGGTCACGGTCACCATGCCAACCCACAGGGAGTAGAGCACGCATCATGCTTTGCTGCTTTATCCTTTGTCTGGTTGTTGCGCTTATAGATGGGTTGTGAGGGGCAGGCCAGCCCTACAAGGGAGACGAGTACCGAGCGTCTATAAATAAACACCGACAGGGGTACCTTCAATTGATTGCGATCGTAGTCCTGTCTGCGACGTTAAATAATTCATGAGGATTTTCGGAGTCGTCCTTAAACGCCTCCTGATCCGCCAATCGGCCGGAGTAAGCCTCGTTGCACGTGAGGCTAAAAATTGTGCAGGGTTGGCCAACTCAGCATAACTCGGGGCACAAGGGTGGGCCGAGTGCACACCTTTAGACACGCACGCCATTTCGGATTGCTCAAGGACGCTGACAACAAGAGACATTAATGAAAAATTGAGGGAGGGGTAGATTCCGGGTGATAAGTTTGGAAAATATTTCACTTTGCAAATAGTCAATCAAATGATTCTATTTTTATTTTTGATTAGTTCCAAGTACAACCATTAACATCTCACAGACAACATAATAAGAACTGTTTTTTGTTCATTGTGCTTTTTGTTTGTGAACCAGTCAAAGTCGGCACACTTTCGTTTGTCGGAATCTGAGTTTACCGGTTGGACCCAAATGTTTAGTCTATAACATAACTAACGATTATTTATATTATTTTAAATCGGTTTTTATATCATGCTGCGGTAGGCATCGAGAGTGTCCTAATGCAGATATTGTACAATGTTGTAGCCTATGAGCGACAAGGAGGAAACTAGAGAGGATGACCGGAATTTGCGATCAGCGAGGCGTCCAATAACCCACTTGATTCTTGTTCCGCCAGCAGAGAGAAAGGCAGCAACAACAGCGAAGAGCTAGGGCCGCAAAGGCAAGCAGGGCATTCGCAAGCGAGGCTGCTACTTCAGCAAC